GTTGGAGAGATTATGTCTCTCGACTGGCCTGGGAACGCCGAGAGGTCCCCCGGAAGAGCTGGAGGAGGTATGTGCGGATCAGGAAGTCTGTGCGGCTCTGCTCAGGCTGCTGCCTCCGCAACCCGACTCCGGATAAGCGGGAGAAGATGGATGGATGGATGGATGAATAATAATAATAATAACAATAATAATAATAATAATCTGCCACACAGTAATTGGGGGATGTAGCCCTTCTAAGTTTAGGCTCTAATGACACAGCTACTGATAAACAGAGCATAAAACCACTTGGAGCCATTACTTGGGAGGAGCCTGTGACGGCGCCAGGGCCAGTGCTGGGGTTGCTGATGCTGGAGTCAAACATGTGTGAAGCTCCCTGCTTCTTCTCCCTGCTCTTGTATCCACCTGCACCCCGCCTGCATCACCTCCATCAATTTTCCTTCTATCTTCCTCACTCCTCACTCCTCTCATCTGTTCTTCTTTCGATTCTTCTTTCTCCCACAGCATCAGTCCATTTCCTGCCTCCTCCAGCTGCTGTCGTTCAGGAAGGGACAGCAGCTTGTCCAGGGCCACAGACTCGTGTCCGAGGGGAGGGAGAGCGCTGCACGATGCACCCACTCCTGTGTCCTGTGGCAGGACGCCCATGGTGGGGCTCAGGGAGCGGAGGAGGGGGCACAGGTTTTGGCGCCGAGCTGAATGGGGCACAAGAGGAGAACATAGACGGGTCAGTTACTGTCGGACCTGAATAACAAAGAAAGGGTGGAACACAGATCTGCTTTGCCTTTTTTCAATAAAGTGGCTCTGTCGAGATGTTGGGCGCTGCAGACTGCCTTCCTGTGTGGCCATATAGTCCCAGAGATGTCATGTGTTTGTACAGTCCTAAAACACCATGTTCTGCATGGTGACATGAAAAGAGCTGGTACTTCATGTTTGGCTGTTCAGTCCCATCCCTACTGCAGTTATGTTCCATTCATTCATGTGGCAGATTTTGTCCAAAGCCTATCCCCACCACCCCCACACCCACTGCCCCACACTAAGTCCATGTGCCAGCTGGCAGTGCATCTGCCCACTTCCAGAGCTGTGTTTGACTTTGTGCCTAACAAAAGTAAGAGTGAAATACAACTTTTTTGTGAAATAAATGCCAATGGTTCACAGTTTATAAGCTCAGAAAGGATAATAAGACACATGATAGTAATAATAATAATAAGAAGAAGAAGAATTGATTAGGTTTATACAATGCTTTTCTTACTCCACCAGTAACTCAAAGCGCATACAATCAATTGTCAATTATTCACTGACACACATCCATCCGGTGGTGGTAGCTACGGTTGTACCACAATGGGGCAGACTGACGGAGGCCTGGCTGCCATCCTGACCTCCACACCAGGCAGTTGGTGAAGCGTCTTGCCCAAGGGCACAACGACCATGACTAAGGTTACAGGCTACAGGGCGGAATCGAACCGCCGACCTGATAATGTATGGGCTGCTAGATGGCTCGGTGGTTAGCACCGTTGCCTCGCAGCTAGAAGGTCGCCGGTTGGCGTCCCATTGAGGATTAAGTGGTGTATAGCTAATGGATGGATGATGATGTGTGCATATCAATGTGCAGAAAATGAAACTGATGCTGTCCAGCAGAAGCCTGTGTGGGGATCAGTCCAGACAAGACAGGATGTGATGACACCAGTCTTCATAGGCACACACATTTAAAACACACGAGTCAGGGTTTAGTCGAAATGCTACATGAATGCAAGATTGATGTTGACTACTGGATAAGTTAGCTGGACACACTGGGCAATACGGCCACACGTTTCTCCATCAATGATTACGTATTCAGCCAAGCCAGAGTATAAATAGTTCATGCAGACTGACAATCGGTCAGCTCTGACTGAACGTACCCAGAGCCAACCAGGGAAGATGCAGCACTCTGTTGTTCTCTCCAGCTGGAGAGCTGTTGGTTGATCTGGCATCGGTGGGAAGGTCGAAATTGAGAATGAACATGATGACGAGGCCGTCTTCATTCTTCACTGGAACCACATCTACTGCACAGTGGAAGCACACACCTGCAGCAACAGACACACACACACAGGAGAAAACATCCTGTTTATGTCGTCATGATTTGCTTCTGGTTGGAATTCATGCAATTCTCAGTATTTTCTGGGTGAAAATGATGAGGATGCTGCTCATTAGATCATCTGAGTGACACTTATCTCAGTAAGCTACACATCTCCTGGAGCTGAAGCCTGAAAGCATATGGCATCATTCTTATATGTTTTTCACTTTGTTCATGGTGATGGTTTACAAATCAGTTACTAGACATCGTCCAGACAGACGACAGCTTTGTGTATTGTTTCAGCAAGTTGTATGTTCCAGCACAGGAAAGTCTTTGTAGTTCTGCCATTGCAGTAGTTCGATCAAAGTCGGGCAGCGTGCAGGACCAGATGGCCGTAAAGGAGGCGAGTGGACCTGATGTCTTTGCTGTGGTAGTAACTGATGTCATCCTACAGTGATCTTCTCACAGGACTGAGCTTCTTGCCTGCTGATCTTTAACATATGCTTGTCTCAGAGGGTCTGGCATGCCGGTCTCAGTACACGCCCTGGTACAGAGGCTCAGTACATCAACAGGTAGGTGTTGTTTGATTTTAAACTTCAAAACTTTAAAATATGATGATTCAATGATATTAGACTCATGTACAGGATTGAATAATCTTGTTTGAACCTCTGTAGTCAGAACTCATGAAAGAACTTCAGCAACTGGGATAAAAAGGCTGTTGAGTCTGTAGATTCATGTGTGGAGCTCGTGTGTGTTCGTGGGTCATGATGAAGCCAAACTGCAAACCTCAGCAGAAGTTGAAGTTAAAAGACTTGGCAGTAGCAGGTATGGGATGGAGACAGCAGGACTAGAGGAAGGATGGTGAGGAGCAGTGGGTGTAAAACGAGGACAGAAGATAGGAGAGGTTTTGAAATGGGCCTGCTGACTTTTTTTTTAAAGGAAGTACTTCAAAACGTTTTTCATTAAATACACAGAAACCCCAAAATATATGTATTTCCAAAGTTACTTTGAGATAAGGACTGTTCTAAGATGAATCATACACGTTTCTATGTACAGCTGCTGTTTATTCACAAAACGATCACATCACAAAAACACAGAGGTGTTCTCATGTAAAACACACAGTGCACAGGTTTCGTTCATTTCATGTGTACACACACAAGTCCTCACGTGAAGCACACAGTCATGCACCCATCCCTGGCAGGCTGCTATATATTCTATACTCAGTTTGATCCACTCAAGTGTTTGTGTCCCTTGTCCTGACCAGCTCTTATACATCCTGAAAATAAGACATTCTGATCAGCAGGTCCTAGCTAAAGTCTTTTACTGTAATTCAAAAGCTCACAGCTCACTGTGACAACACACGAGTGGTGCAGACACAATGAGATCTCGTCTTGTGCCATCCAGCTGGTTTTGAAGACGGAAGACTGGTTGGTCTTTTTTTTTGTTATTCTTCAGAATTTCTATTTCTGGTTTCTGATTTCATGACTGCAGTTGTTAGGTAGGTGATGGTATCAACGGTTTTACAAAAAGAACAGATGATGGATCACTTCCAGTCACCATCTTCCCATGTGAAAGCTTTCCAATTTGAGATCTAAAGCCTCTTCAGTGGGAAACAGCTGGCCAATAAAAAGGTACTCAGGAACAAAGTCTAGCTCCTGACATCGACGTGTCCTCCTGTTACCACTTATAGGTGCTAGTTGGACATACGGACCCTCAGATGTGTGATGAGGAGCTGACAGTTAGGTCTGACCTGCTGATCACACACATGCAGAAAGCTAAAACTCCAGTCAGCTAAACATCGATGAGTTTATTTCACATTGTGTTTTTGTTTTTTCTGTTTGATGATCACAACTAATAAAGCTCAAGTTTAGGAAACAACAGCACGCCTCCTCTCCCTGTCCAAGCCCAGATACAGAACGTCTGTCAAGCTCTGTCTCTGCTCTTTACGTTTCCCTAACTGTTGCTCTCTTGCAGCATCCAGTGGTGTTGATTAATGCAGGTATACTTCTATTGACAGCTGTCAGTCTTCTTCTGTCCTATCTGAAAGTCAAACATTATATTAGTCTTCTATTCGTTAAGATTACATCAGCCCTGAACCACTATGGGATTACTGAAACCACAGCAAACTGTGAGCAGATTAATCTAACCTGAACTTTGGTGCAGTTCTTCCCTCCCCCTCCCTTTGCATCTACCAACAAACATCAGGAGGTGATTGGTCTCCACCGGGGCTGTACTGCAGCCAGGACAGATTAACGTAGCAACATGCAAACTGTCTCTTCCTAAAAACAGTAGGACTGAAGGAACATCTGCTGCAGAACACACACACACACACACACACACACACACGCACACACGCACACACTTCTATCTTGGTGAGGAACTTGACTGACTAATGCATGCCCTGGCCCCTCGTCCTAACCTTTACCATCTCAGCTAGACATCTAGCTCCACAAGCCCTTGGTCCTCTCAGAATACATGTAGGATTACACACAAACACACCAGCTTACAAAATGTCTAGAATGTCTCAAGCATTATATTTTAGGAACTCAAACTGTCCATCAGGAGAGAGCTGCTGTATAGACACCGTCGCCCACAAAGTTGGACTGACATATTCTTTTACCTCTTCTCATGAAATGACTGTGACAGTGTGATTTATTCTTCATAAATAGTGTACATCTTCTCAAAAATGTATTGATATCACCATATTCATACAATACATATCACAGTAAACACAAAAGCACAATGAACTTTTGCAAACTGTGTGTTCAGGCTTAAACCAAACTGGAGGGATTGACCAACAGGATGAAGGGTTTGGTTTCAGTTTTTCAACCTTGGTCCCTTTAACAGGAAACACTTGTTTGAGGAGATCATCCATCAGAAAGTCCAGTATTACTGTTTAGATGTCCCTCAGTCACTCGTACTGAGTCTGGCCGCCCCTGACATGGATCAGTGTGTTCGGACATGGTGGCGTTCTGTCCACCAGCTGGTTGATGGAGTCAGTGAGCAGGACGTCCCACTCTTCAGTCACATCCTCAAGTCAGAACTGGTTCCACCTGCTAGCTGGGACTCAGTGTGTCATCATTACACCTGATCAGAAGTGACTACTGATGTGTGGAAACAGAAATAAAAGGAGTGTGTCTGATAACAACAATCATCCCAACTTTATGGGCGACGGTGTGTATAGGTTTGTCATCAGATCAAGCATGTTAATAGGCTCACTGACTGAATAATCATACAAGACCATTTAAAGAGTGAACATACATGAAGTATTCATGATGTGATGCTGCAGAACCACTATGGATAATAAACAGAACGAATACTGCATAAATACAGCATCTGCAGGCTATAAATACCTGGACAACAAATACTGTCATGACTTTTGGAGTAAAAAGAAGTAAATACAATGCATGTGGCATTACTGGTTTTATTTCATAAACACTGAAAAAAATACACACCAACTGTGGCTTGTGGAGATGTTTAGGTACCCGACTTAGTGCATCTTGAAGCTTCTGTCTTTTTGTCAAAATGAATGTGTCAGGAACAGAAATATGCTCGTCCTGCAGATCACGTTGAGGGCTGAGGGATTTCTAGGCTCACTCAACAGATGTTCAAGGGATCAGAATCTTTTCAGCGTCAGCTTCTTGACTGGCTTGATGTTATCGGGATTCAAAAACTGGATATTTAGTGGAGTCTATTTGTCACTTTGTCTGCTCTGTGGTCCTGCTCTATGCTAATGGAAGCTACACAACCCCACAACCACATATGTTAGGCTTAGACTGCTTCTAGGTTGGTAAGGTACTCTTTTATCAAAGTCTGCTTCTTTTATCACCAAGCTTAACTTTAAACACAACGTCATGTATCCATCAGTTGAGGCTCAATCATTGTTTCTGCATGACTATGAAAACACATGAACAGCAGACATCAGACATGCAGGATTTGATTCTATGTAGACGATGCCGCCCCTTTCATATCAAATACAGAAGAATGTTGAACTTCACAGTGTTGCACAACATATTGGAACGTACATACGTCCAGATTCCAGCAGCAACTGCTTTAATGTACAACTTGTTTAGTGATGAATTACAAAGGTCTGTGGATGACAGAGAAGGTCCTCGCACAGCCTCTCCTCAAAACACACATTTGTTTGAAGCACCTATTTTCCCAGCATATGCACATTTGCCACGCTGGTGTTAGGATGGTATAGTTTGTGTTGTGCATTGCTTGTTTCTCTGTCTCGGTGTGTGGTGGGCGTGTTTCTTCTTCTCCCTGCAGGCTGGGCGGAGCCGACCTGAATGAGACAATCAAGCGCTGACAGCTGCGGCACATCAACTCATCAGCAGCCAGCCGTACAAATACGGGCAGCTCACAGACCTTCAGCGCCAGATGATTGTGATTCCTCACCGTGGTACAGTCAGGCCGCTTAGCAGCTACATCTCGGGAAGCATCAAGCTAAGTCTACCGTTTTCAAGTGTCTCAAGTTCATTGTATTTCTCCCCTGTATCTCCAGCGTCTCGTCTCGGCTCCAGCTCCAGTGCTTCTCCCGACATGCCTGCCTCTTCTTCTCCCTCGAGCACACATCACGGGAACCCACGGCCACGAGCACCTTCACCCGACGGATCCCCATTCGAGCACCTCCACTGGGAAGAACTTCACGGGAAAAGGATTCGCACGAGCACCGCTCCTGGAGCACCGCACCTCCACCTACCACCTGGAATCCCCACCACGACACCCTCCACTGGATTCCCTCACCTGGACACCCCCAACTTCCCCCTCCCTTGTTAATAAATCCTTTCCTTTAACCTTTTTCTCCTGCCTCCCTTTTTCGTTGGGTCCGCCCGCACAGATTCTGAGCTCGGGTCATCACAGCTGGCGGTACAGTTAGACGAGCCACATTCTGGGCTACACATAGGCGCCCACAGAGAACATCAGAGGACTTCTGCTTTAGTTTTTCTTGGGAGGTCTCCTGCTTTACTGATCCATCTACCCCGATCTGTTTCTTTACAGATCTGATGCCCATGTAAGAACCTGTCTTTCCATCTGACAGACAAAAAGTGTCGCTGTCTACACAGAAATCATACATTAAAATGATAACAACATAGCCTGCTGATTTGGGTTGTTTAGAAGTGAAAACACACATAGACATTCATAAAATGGGAAAAAATCTTTTTTTTAACCCTGTCTCCATCCCTGTCCAAACACGCAGGAACTACTTTTTGAAGGAAATATAAAGAGGAAACAGTACTGTGTGATCACTGACAGCATATTTTTCTGCATCTAAATATCCTTTCTTGACATGTAGTGACCACACCTTTATTAAACTTATGCGAATAAAGACTGTATGTAGGCATATTGAGGCACTGCCAGAACCTGGTTAGGGTTATAGACAGATCCTGGTCTGGTGTAATACAGAAACAGTCTACAGTGACTGCAGACAGGAAAGCCCTTATTGGCATTTAATCTAAACCACAGTCTTGTACAAAGCCTAACTATAGTTTTTTTTGTTGCATCAACCAAATCCTATGCTGGACTCTGAATATGAACCCTGTCCTCTGGTGTGACTGGTGCACCGTGGACACTGGCTGTCCACCTCAAACACCTCCCATCGACTCTGACAGAGTTAACAAATGCAGTGTTTCTGGGCAGAAACTGTACGTAAAGTTGAGAACTGAGAGAAACTGAGAGTTAAGGTGTAGAGATGATGGTTGGATGGATCATTATACATGTAAATGTGATGCTGCTGCAGTAAATGCTAACGGTAGTTTATATTTATTTCCCCATAACCCAGATTAATCATTTTTTTTACTTCTGTCAAATTAATTCAGTTGATTTTACCATGTATGCCTGATATATGGTAAAACTGTGTGTGTGTGTGTGTGTGTGTGTGTGTGTGTGTGTGTGTGTGAGAGAGAGAGAGAGAGAGAGAGAGAGAGTACTGCTTAAATAGTCAACTATAATAAATGAAGATTTGGTTAAATAGTGAGAAAAGGTAAAGTTCAGGATACATGTAGGCTAAGACTAGGGAAGGTCTCTAGGAGATGAACACTGAACTGTGTGTGTTCGTGTGAGGGAGGACTGAATAATCTTTTGGCTCTTTCCAATAATCTCTAATCCTCCAGTTCATCATTTCTTTGGGTTTATCATGAAAACAATGATCCTACTTTACTCATTCTCCCTGAACACTGGCACTGACCTTCACTCAGCACACAGGCACACATGGAGGTTAAACTTTTATATAACTCACCTGCTTCAACTGTATTAAGGCTTAATCCATCTTCATAAAACACTCACCTGGTTCTGCACTATGCTCTCCCTTGTTGTTATTCCAGAACTTCCCTGTTCTCACTTTACTTTCTTCCCTGTGTGTCTACACTTTACAGATCTTATGTCAAGTACCAGATGGTGTATGCTTTTTATTCTTCTTTTCAAATAAGAGTTAAGGTCATAACAGCAACGTAACTTGCATTGTATGAAGTGAATGGGTTTGACACCAGAAACCAAGGTTCACACTGCACAGACCATGTGTGACTAGAGTTGTGATAAGATACTTTCATGTCTGCAATGGCTGACTGTTGGCTGATCATGAGTGGAGCTTTACAGGTGTGGTCACAATGATGGGCTACAGTTAAAGATGAGTTACATGATTCTGTAACATGGCTGAAGGAGAGGTTGTGCCACTTAACCTCAGTTAACCTAAATTTAAGTTTGCTTTCTTTTTGTCTTTACACTGATGACACAACTTGTGTCTCCTCTCAGTGCTAAAGCAGCATAGCAAAGATAAGAAGACCAGGTTTACTGCAGAAGGCACCAGCTTCTGACATGGTTCCTGCTGCTCACATTCACCCCAATGTGCTTTGTTTGTGGGCTTGTGCTTCTCCATTTAGCCTTTGATGGTTTCCACAGGTTTTCAGTTGGATGTAGATCTGGTGACTGAGCAGGCCAAGGCATGGTTCCACTGTTCTGGTTCTCCATCCAGGCTTTAGCTGACCTCGCCGTGTGCCAAGGGGCATCGTCTGGTTGGAAAATTCAGTCACTGGAGGCAGGAAAGAGTTTTCCAGCTGATGGCAGAAGACTGTTTTCTAGAGCAGCCTGTCCATGACCTGGTCCATTCACCCTGTTCCACCCAAACTAGAACCAGCCCAGATGGTCACTGATCCACCCCAATGTTCTACTGTAGGGGCAGGACAGTCTGGTCTGGAGGCTTCTCTAGGCTTCCTCCTCACCAGGAAGTGGGCTGGAGTGGGCATCAGCTGAACATTGGGTTCATCCCTGAAGAGAACCTGAGCCCAACCATCACCAGTCCAATCCTTGTGATCCCAGCAGAGAGGAACCGGGCTTTCCTCTGCCTTTGGTTGATGAAGGACTTCTTCTGCCCTGTGTGACTTCAGACCAGCTTCAACAAGTCGGTTTCCAACAAGTCCCACGTCTCCACAGTGTCTGACAACGATTCCTGACACAGAACAGATGAGTACTCGGTCATCTGGTGGGTAGGAAGACGTTTCCTGCTGCCACCAGCTAGCAATGTGGTAGCACCATGGTGGGCTGGTTGTTGCTTGGTGTAATGAACGGCTGTCTTGGAGATCTCCAGGTTCTTCACTACCTTTCTCTCACTCATACCAGTTTCCAGCAGAGCCAAGATGGCTGCCTTTGTGGCTTCACATAATCCTTCTGCTTTAGGCGTTATGTGAGAGCTGACAGCTTCTGAGCTGTGCTACGGCCTGAATGTCAGCAGGAAACCACTCCAGGCCTTTGCATGTGCTGCTGCTGACATGAAACGGCCTCTTATAGACCCTACAGGGAACACAGTGAAGCTGAAGCAGGTCACACAGGACAGAAAGGATGATGGATCAGCTGCATGTTTGTTCATCGTATTCTTCAGCTGATAGACCTTTAGCGGCACCAGGCGTTAACATGAACAAGACACTGAAGAGAACAGGGTGGTCTGACCTGTGTGTGTGTGTGTGTGTGTGTGTGTGTGTGTGTGTGTGTGTGTTACATGTCTGTCAGGTACATTTATATTTTGTTGTTCTTTCACAAAAAATAAGACTACAGAAGCATATAGAGGAGGTCCTTGTTGTCCAGATAGCTGTCTGGTTAAATCCTGTGTGACGGCCTCATAGATGCAGTTGATCAGCAATATTTTACCAAAACAGATACACAGAATGTCTGAATCTATGGAAATGACAGTTAGTAAATTCATACCATCCTTAGTGTAGAGGGAAATCTCCACCTTCCTCTCCTCTGCACCCAGCAGCGCTTTAGCCATCTGGGCCATTGCTGCCCTCTTGGTGTGAGGTCCGTACAGGAAGCTGCAGGTGCAGGGCTTCTGGATCACCTCCGCCCGAGTGTAACCGCACATCCCACAGAAGGCATCATTACAGAATATGATGGCGCAGTTCTCCACCTGTGCATTGGCGATGATAAACTTTCGGTCTGTCAAGAAAGAGGAAAAAGGTGAAATGATGAGGACGCAAAAACTTTCCATTTTCCATCTTCTGTGCAGCTCACAGCTCGACAACACGACACAAAACATAAGCAAAACAACATTTACTCGCTTTGAGACACGTGGATTCAACAGTCTGAAGGATGTATGGACCAGATTCCTGGGATTGCAAGAAACAGTCTTTTTTCACACTAATCATGTGATTTGTCAACTGTAATATTATTGTAAATATATATAAAATAATATACAAAACTGATCTTGTGGCCAGTAATGCCATAAAAAGGTACAAAAGACAGTAAGACACTGTGAGAGATGTCAGTGTTGTTGCTCTCCCCTTTCCTTTACACCCTCTGCACACTTCACACACAACACAGAACGCCGTCGCATCCAGAAGCTCTCCGATGGCACAGCCATCGTAGGATGTGCATCTGAGGGAAAGCAACTGGAAAACAGGGAGTTCATCAACAACTTTGTCAGCTGGTGTGAGCTCAACCAGCTTCAGCTTAGCATCAGTAAGACAAGGAGATGATGATGGACGTCACACACCACACCAGTGACCATCCACGGTTTGGACACTGACGGGGTGGAGAGCTACAGATGCAGATGTGCTCCTGTCCTCACATCAGCAGGGTAAGCAAACATGAGGCTGCAGCAGCTGTTCACCAGGTGTGTATATGAGCATGACCAAAAGGCTTCCAGCTGAGTCAGCGCTTATATTTCAGTCACTGTTCTACTGAACAAAGACACGTTTCAACCATTCCATCATAACTAATGGAGTGTTACAGGAATCACTGGAACCTCAAGACGACCGGCACAGACGTACCTGGTCTGTTCAGGTGTGTTTGACACTTTGATACGAACGTTCATTCTGCTTTACAAAATAAAAGACAAAACAGCTGCATGGTATCAGCACAGATACGCTTCAGTAGGGAGCCCAACATTTACCCCCAACAACACACAGGAAGGAGCCCAACATTTA